AGTTCAAAAGGCAGTAAATAATGCATATCACTTTATCAATGTAATCGCCTCATTGCTTTCGGCAATTATCGTGGCTTCTATGCGATATATGTATGCATGGAATTTGTGCCTGCTAATTTAGCATAAATTAAAATATTGAATGCATAAAACAAAGCAATTCCAGCTCTACTAACCAGCGCGTGCAGCATAAAAACGAAATACTAGTTGCTCATCTATATGTAATAAGTATGTATGTGTATATATGAGCAGTACTCAGATGTTTGTGTGTGTTAATCATCGTCTGACATTTATTTGGCATCAGGGCCAATATGAGTATAGACGGATGGAGTTTGAAATGCAGGCCACGTACCTGAAGCTCTTGATTTTTCCAATAAATTAAATGGTTTTGTTATGCGCTACACGGTTGAACGCAAGCCAAGGACGTGTAGAAGTAGAAGCCACGCCCGCATGCAGACATCAGCAGCAGCAACGCCCACTTCAGACATCGGACGTCGTACAGCTTAATGAGGCGCGCGCCAAGCTACGAAAATGAATAGCCGTTTTAATTAGCTGGATATAGCATGCTTATCGGCGCACGCATACAATTATAATACGAGCATTGCTATATTTGTACATGTGAGTTTGTGTGTGCGTTTCTGTAAGTACATTGCACGGATTGCTTAAGCTGGGAACACAAATTAATTAAATTTGATTGAAATAAATTAAAGGTTATATTATTGCAAACAATACGGAAAAGCCAATGGCAGAACCCACTTTCGAGAACATCCTTAAAGTCAATTGCACACATACTAAATATGCATATATACAATAAAATGCGATTTTCCATAAATGTATGCCAGCGGACGAAAAAAAAACCGCATAGCATATCAATATGAGCAAGCAAAAATGAGTGAAATTTAAATTAATAAAATAAATTGATGCTCGAAACGCAATTTCCATCATAAGCCGGCAGCAAAATGTATAACTCTTTATATTCAAATTTATGGCTTTAAATTTATCCAGGAAATAATGTTGACAATTATGGATGAAATGTGTCAATAACCGACGTGTTGACAAATGCTGTGGGTGATAGCATATTTCTATGCAGGACAACAGACCAAGTTTCCGAGCTAAATGTAAATGACATGCGGCTAATTGATGTGCTCAATTGTTAGAAATAATGCTGGCTGTCCGGTCATCGGAGCTTTCCAAGACAAATGTTATTTTGTGGCATGCTTCTTGAGATTCTTTGGGGTAGCAGCAGCACATTTCGATGCCTTTCAATACACATACCGTTTGTGGTTGCTGCCCAAATGCCAAGGTAATTCAAATCAAAGCACTTATAATAACAATAATGGCAACTACAATACAACGAGTGTGTGCAGTCCAAGGAAAATGCCTGCTTACCAGCTCCAAGTTCCCAAACAATGCACTGCATTGTGGTTAAAAACAGCGACAAGCTTCTATACATTTAAACAATATTTTCAATTTCGGTTTGTTCACATTTCAAAAGCAAATATTTACGCTTATATGCATACAAATGTATGAATTGGTTTCTACCTCCACCAGCTTTCCCCTCATTTTGCAAATTTAATACCAGCTTAAAGCTTCGGTAAAAGCCAAAATTCCTACAACAATCAATCTTTTTTGCATATTATATTCGTGTACACTATGCCTTTTACAAACCATAGCGGCTTTATTTTAGATGGCATGGGTGTGTGATTATGCCAAACCAAAAACTACAAAATTAAATTGATCGCTTGGTTGTGCATTAAACTTTCCTTGGTGTAATTTGCCAAAACTGCATATTAAATTTGTAGCATCCGCTTGTAATATGTATTTTTATACCCTGTACCCAAAGGGTACAATGGTATATTAGTTTTGTGCGAGTGCACATTGAACACACAGAAGGAGGCGTGGTAGACCCCACAAAGTATATATATTCTTGATCAGCATGACAAGCCAAGTCGATATAGCCATGTCCATCTGTCCGTCTGTCTGTCTGTATGAACGCAAGGATCTCAGAAACTATAAAAGCTAGAATAACCAAACTTGGTATACAGATTCTCCTGAGCCCGAGAAATGACGAGTTTGTTCATTTTTCCCGATGCACCCTATATAACTCTATAACTTGGAATTTTGAACTAAAATTTGGTAGACACATCCAGATAGTGATTATATATCCGTATACTAAGTTTTATTATGATAGGTTGTTATAGCCATATACATACATATGTACAAGTACACAAACACGCATAGATTCTGATGTAAATGTAATTGTATGTATGCATGTATGGAATATTTTATATTTAATTTATTTACCGATGTTTAATTAATTTACTTTAATTTAATTAATTAATTTCTTTTTTTGTAGGGTGGTACAGGGTATTTAAGAGTTGAGCCTTGTTTAATTATAAAAGCATTTGTATTACTCATCATATTTGGCACAACCGGAACTAAAAATACAAAAAGCAGCGATAATATTAATAAATAACACTTAATTACATTTATTGGCTGTTGTTGTTTCTGTACCTCTATGTTGCTGTTGTTACTTTACCATTAAAAAGCTCACTTAATGCACTTGCAATTTATTGTTCTTATCATGTCCATGTGCCGTGCACTAAACTTACTTAAGATAATTAAAATGTTTTATCACCCACCTTAAATGTGTGTTATATGACTAATGCAGGTAGCAACGAACGCTTTCCAGCAATTCTATAAAATTAATTAACAAATGCAACAGTCGTCGACAAATACGATGACGAAGGCGATGATAATGATAACGACGATGACGATGACTGATTGTCTTCGAGGGGCAATAAATGCAGATATGTCAACAGCAGAAACATAAAAAATGAAGGTGACGGGTGTAGAGGAGCTGTGGGAATGCGGGCGTAGGTGGAGGCATTGCGTAAGTGTTGATTAAATGCACGCAAGTCAGCTAGCTCGTCATGGTTTGACACACAGGCGGCTGTGGCACATGAAATGCAAATGAACTTTATTTCCTCCCAGAAAATAGTCTCAGGCATTTGAATATTGTTATTGCTTTTGTTTTCTTTCTTCTTGGTGTGCTCATTTTCATGTTGCTTTCTTAGTTTTTGCACATATTTTGCCTAACTTCAGTTTTGGATGTTGGGACACGGCGTTGTGGGTGAAGGGGCGTCGGGGCTTATTGCAAAAACAAATGCCCGAAGCTGCGTTATAAATTTATTGCTGAACTTTGAAATACCATGGCCGCAGCTACTTCTTGCACAGTCTTCTTTGGCGCATTTTAATGCAAAAGTTCTGCAGCTGTATTTTTTGAAATTATCCTTAAAAACGCAACGCGCTGAGTTGTGTGCAGCGAAAGTTGGAGCGTGTTGAAAGCTGCCGCACAGCCGGAAATGGAATTCCGTATGTATGGGTGTGAGTGTTTCGGTGTGGATGTGGGTGTAGGTGTGGATGGCGAAGCTACTGGAAATAATTTATTAGCTGCGTGAAAAATAATTTATGTCTTGGTTGTTTTTTGTTTTTTGCTGACGCCTCGACGACGAACTGCAAATGGGCAGGCAGTAAGTTGCAAGGCAGTAGACGGATCGGACGAATATACGAGTATCTAAATAAATTAAAACAATTTGCAATTTTGTGAATGGCAGCACACAGTTTAGGGGATACTGTGCACAAAACACTTTACAGTTGAGGGAGCACTGTGCTACCACCATCAGCTGCTTTACAGTTTCATTTACAACTGGTTTGTGCATAAGTTTCTTTTTTTATAGTTTGAGGGACCGTAGGAGTTTCTCATTTGATTCAATTCTCCTACACTTATACTTGCCCTGGCTCAACTTTTAAATACCCTGTACCCACTTCCACAATATTTAATAAGATACAAAAAAAAACGTCGCTATGAAGTTGAGAAATACTAGAGTATTTGATTGTTTGTATGTTTGTTTGTTTGTATGTTTGTTTGTTTGAATTGAAAAGGCTCCGAATCTACTGGACCGATTTAATGGATTCTTTCATTGTTGGGAAGCTACACTATCGACTATTAACATGGGCAATATTACATTTGCAAAAAAGAATGGATTCCTTACTAAAACGCCAATAATGTAACCAATAGTGTACAAAAATTTCTTTAAAACTCCTGAATAGCATGCTGTTAGTTCATAATAATCATCGAAACATTGTCACTTTAAATATTAAGGCAATATTATTCAAAAGCCCCTAGTCAAATAAAAAATTACAAATCGATTTTAATTCACTAAACTAAACTGGTGGACTGCCGCCTCATGAATTGACGGTAAAATTCGAAATTGCAATCATGCTTTTGAGAAGTTAAAGCCTTCCAAGCATGTGCAATGGGACGAGGCTGCTTATCAAGGAATTGTAGCAACTATTATCAACGGCCCAGCAACTATTTGATCATTTATATGACTTCAATTTCCGGAAGTCCCAAGGCCAGGCCTTCGAATTAGTAGGGATCGACATACGAAAGCAATATTTTACGGTATGTTGACCTATCACGGGTCGGAGCTCCTGAAAATCAATTTATTGTGCTACCACAAAATAAAACATCAAATATCTTTTACAGAGAACCTCTGACCTAATAAAGAATAACAAAAAAATTTAAAAACTAACAAAAAATCATTAAAATAATAATATCCAAAATAAATTGCACTCCTTCTTAGTAACTCATAGCAAAAAGAAGGGTGTATGTGTGTTAAGTGTGTGTGTGTGTGTTATAAAATGTATAATTTGTAAAATGTTTGTAAAAATACCCGTGAGAAGCAGGGACAGGGCGCTAGTAATATATATACAAGTATGTAGATCTTTATACTTTATACTTTATTGCAAAGTGATCTAAATGGTATTATAATGTTATGGTGGCTTTGTTACTATTTCCGGCTCCGTTTTATAAAAAAGAGAAACAACCTTTTCAGCAACGAAATTCATCTAAGATGATGACTTTCGGTAAGAATTCAAAACCAATAGCAAGTTTTGCACATTTAAGAACCCTAATGAAAAAATATGTCCAACTTGACTTATAATTGTATTAATTTATAATTTACTGAAATACATTTTCATACAAAATATGACGAGAATTGCAACAAAAGTTTAAACCTTATATACAACTAATAAGCTGCGCTGTCTGCACAGTAATTCCAATACACATGTATGTATAAATATGTATATGTATAGTATATATGCAAGTAGGTATAAAATTTCCATTTCTTAGAAACTTTGATTAGAAATAGTACATTCCAAAATTTCAAGTGCATTTTACTCTGGAGTGGTAGTAAACTAAGTGCATGTATTAAGACCGGAGCACCGTCATTGTGCAAGTAGGCGCACCAGCTGCGACAGCAACAAATTCGATTGGGGCTCACTTTGTTTTGGCGCTGCGTAAATTCGGTGCGGAGAGCAAGGATCTGGTCGGCTGGCGTTGCAACGTGGAGATGTGCTGCTCATCCTTATGGTAACCATTATGACGATGAGTGGGCGTTTCACTTTTGCGGCTCAGTCGGCTTAAGGTGCTGGCGCTTGTGCCATTGTGGGGCGGAGGCTTGCGCGGCATCGTTGACATCTAACAAAAGTAATATTTCTTTACAGCTTGGAAATTATTTTAATTGTTGGTTCACAGCAGAGACTTACGCGTTTATTTTGCTCCTGCGAGTAGTTGATCTCATAGCCCTCACTTATGTGTTTTGGCTTCCAGGGCGCCAGCATGGATACGGAACGTGAAACAGTACGCGTCATGGGCTGCAATGGCGGTTTGGGGGCACCGGCCTTACGCAAGTCGTCCCGCGATATGGAACGGCGACGCAGATTATATGGCTGGGGTATATCGCCTACTGTTGTGGCATGCAAAAAGACTACGCTGCGCTGGCTGTGCAGGCTGGACTCCCCTTCAGTTCCGGAGCTCTCGGCGGGGTAACGTTCGCGCTCCCTGTGATAAAAATGGATAAAGAGAAAATGGGAGTTTAATATTTGGCTGACAAATTAGCTTCTAGACTTAAAGACAGAAATATATTCTATATGTCTGACTGATAGGTACTTAAGCGGATGCATGGTATAGAATAATACATACTATAATAGGCTAAAACTGAAAAATGTAAACTACTTTGCTTATTTATAAATATATTTCATTAGGTATCCCCAAAAGCGAATGCATTTTTGGTTTACTGCTTTAAGATGAAACTGTTTATACTTTGTTCATAAAAGATCCAAGAGTATATTAAGTTTTCGGGAAGTGAAAAATTCAATAGGCAGAAGGAGGCGTGACAAATCCCGCAAAAATATGTATTTTTGATCAGCATGACAAGACGAGTTGATCTAGCCCTTCCTGTATGTATAGAACATAGACAATTTGTGGGCTCTGCAAAGCCTCCTCTAAGCGTTACATACACTCGCAAGAAATTAGTATACGCTTTTGCCATTTGGATACAGAGTATAATTATTTGAATAATCGATCAAAGAAAATTTTCGTATTACAATTGGCCCATCTTTGAAATACCCTGTACCTATGTGTAGAATAATTATAAACAAGAGAGAACGCTACAGTCGAGCAAGCCCGACAGTGTAATACCGTGTACCCAGGTAAGATTCCGTCACTGAGTTATATGCGCCCATAGCAGCAGCAAAAAGAGGAAGAAGAAGAGCGAACTTGATGTTGCAGCTTGTGGGAGTAGTACCGGAGTTAAATTGTTTCGCTAATAACTTTTCTTAGAATTAACCGATTTAGATGAAATTTGAAACAAAAGTAGATAATTATATAAAACTTATGTCTGCAAAATTTGGTTTTAAAATATGGACAGTATTGACAAAATTCTGTAGCGGGGTAAGGGAATAATTCCAAAAAATAAACTAAACTCGTCCTTTCTCGGACCTAGGAGAATCTGGATACCAACATGGTTATTCTAGCTTTTATAGTTTCTGAGATCCTTCCGTTCATTCAGGTAGACAGACGGACGGACATGTCTAGATCGATTTCTCTCGTCATGCTGATTCAGAATATATATACTTTATGGGGTCGGAGATGATTCCTTCTGCCTGTTACATACTTTGCACAAACCTAATATACCCTTTTTACCCTACGGGTACATTGTATAAAAACTCTCCGGACTGCTATTACCGCTACACCAGGACTATTAAGAAATAGTATGAACATTTCATAATCTTAAGTTTATATCATCGTGTACAGACACGATAAAAATCACTTCTTGAGACAATGATTTCACTATTAATGATAAACACCTACCTGCCATAGCCATTCTCGGTGCCATTACTGAGCACTGCGCGCCTTTCGGCACTTCGTGCGGGCTTTGGCGGACCCTGTAGTGGACGCTTCTCGTATCGCTGTGCCCGAGACTGTACATCTGTTGGCGTCGCAGTTGTGCGCTCCAGCGACATCGCACGCTGTCCACTGTTGCGTTTGTGTCGTTCCATCGTCTCCGGTTCGGAGCCACTCTCTGAGATATCGTGCAACTCTCGCGAACGCGAGTAGTGCCGCCTCTTCCGGAAGTCAACCTCATCGCTGCCATTCTCCAAGTGTTGCATGGAGCTGCTGCGCTGGCGAGCTGATTGGGCGACCAGCGTATGGCGATAGTCACGAGTGGGTGTGGTGCGATCCAAGTTATAGGCGCTCTGGGAATGTTTTTGGTGACGTTGCAAAGTATTACTATTTCCCAGCGACGGGCGGCTCCTGCAATGACCAATGAATGGTATTAATTATAGGCTATAATAATTTTCTTTTACACTCACCTGACTTGAGTGCTTGTCTTCGATATTGTCGGCGGATTTGAATCCAAGTCGGTGTCGCCAAAGAAACGCAAATTCTTCGCCGGCGTAACGGGCGCATTGCGTTTGGTACGCTTTAAGCTGGACGTTGCCTCGCTATGGCCATTGACAGACACGTTCAGCTGAGTAGATAATAAGTGGAATATACATTTTACAAACTGTTCAACAGAATTTCGAAAGTGACTAAGAAAAAAGCTAAAGTTTTAGCTAAAGACAAACTTTTATTTTCATTCGATTCAGAAGCTGACTAAAGAACACAATTTAAACGCCGTATAGCATTTGTGTTCCAAAATAAAAAAATATATTTATATATAAATATATATATTCTCATTTTCATTTTATTTTCATTTCTATTCTATACTCTTATTGTTACTTCACCTCACTTTAAATTATAATAAATAATACAAAAAAAATTTCTATTACCTTAATTTTATTTAATTTATTATTTCTCAAAAGATGGCTTTCGCTTACCTGTTCCTTTGGAGTGCTTTTGGCTCGGCGATCTAGCGATTTGAACCAGCTAGTCTTCTCAGGTTTTACTGTGATCGCTTCCTTCTGCTTCTTGGGCGGCTTATCTGCCGATCCTCGCTTAACAAGCAATGGACTAGCTTTCGGCGTGGACAGCCGACGGCGCATGGATATATCGATAGTCTGGAATACAAAAAAAAACACAAAAGTAAGACTTATGCTAAGATACATATTGGTTCAAAGGTTCGACAATTGCATAACAATCGAACAACAACAATAATAGCAACAAAAATGGCAGCAACAACAACCTGTTGCCTGTGCCGCCACTGACACACTCAGTGCTCACAATTTGGGGCAGGTGGCCTTTGCTTGAGCATAGGCCATGTCACACTCCATGTCAAGTCAATCTAATGAGTGGTTGGGGCTTGTGGGGGCGCAACACTTGCCACAATAGCAACCAGCAACAACAACAGCAGAAACAACAACAACTATATCACGTTGCACACAGAAAACTAGTTTTGCCATTTGCGATTTCGCTTATTGGTTTTGGGTTTTTTAGGCTTTGGACCAGTTGCGGTTTAAATTGTACGAGAATTAGGGACAGCAGCTTTTGTGGCTGTAAGTGCGCTCGTTAATATGGTTGCTATTCTACGATTTATAGCTGTTGATCTCGCACAACAACCAACAATAAGAAAAACTATTTAAAATGTCTACGAGCATAGCAATAATAAAATCGAATCAAATCAATGAGCGCCCACAAACAAATTAAACGCCAAAGAGACCAAATTTAAAATATGTAAATATAAAAATAGAGAAATACCTTCAGCTTTAGAATCTTTTATATGCCAGCAATATAAGTAGTTTATTGTCAACTTTTGCCTATAATTTAGCTAACAGCAAAATGTCAGCTGGCATTAATTAGCACAAAATTCCGAGTAGAATGTACGGCCTAAAGTTGACACGAAATAAATTTAAATTTTTATTAAGATGGAGAATTCTCTAAAGCGTTTATTGAATGTGATTTTATCCCCAGCTACACGCATACATAAATATAACTACATATGTACATATGTACATAAACATATATGTACGTATACGTAAGGGCACACATTATACAGAAATATTTACCACTTCAGCCAAAACTTTGAGTGCCATATTCCAGCACTTTGAGAACGGTTCAACTTCAAACTTGAGCTCCTTTATGCATTGGAGCCACACCTTTTTGGAATCCAATAAACCAAATGCCGATAGGCCTCACACGCACGCACACAAACACGCTGACCGCCCAGAACAATGCGACCCTGCCCCACGGGATGGTAATGACACTCAAATATGCTGGCATCGCGTTCAGAATTTATGATATTCATAATGAGTGCCGTAGACGGTCAGATCCCGCAGACTATGGTGTCCCAAGAACCAACCGAAATTAGGAATATGGTATGCCATGCAGTGTATACCCTGTAAGCTTAGTGGAAATGTATGCAACACACAGAAGCAGGCGTGGCAGACCCCACAAAGTATGCATAATCATGATCAGTATAACAAAACGATTCGATAGAGTACAGAGTATTTCAAAGTTGGGGCACCCGACTTTAGCTTTTCCACTTTTAGTAAAGTAAATTGTATATATATATATATTTCTTTTTTCTTTTATATCGACTGCATTGTTTGTCGGTGAAATAAATAAATAAATTAAGATATTTTATTCCTCACGTAATTGTAATTCTTTTTAGCTTTTTTGATCTACTACCCAGCTCTGTAGAGTACAAAAATGTTGTTCTACTTTATTCTCAGTCGCCCACAAGCAGTGAGACAAACGGCGAACGCTTGCAGCAACATCCGCCAGCGGTCAAAGCAAACAAGCAACATCCTCCAAAGCAAGTGGGTGGCTCTCAGCCCAGCCAAGGTCTGGCCAAGCTTTCTGGCGCTACAGCGCCCAGAAAATCGCTCAAGCATTGCAAATTAACTAAGCTTGTCAGCAACTAAGTGGCAGGCAGTGCCAACTGGGCTTGGATCTGTGCATTCTTGGTGATTGTGCAATCTGGCTACCATGGCAAGCCAACACCTTTACGGGAAGGCCAAAGCTGTTGAAACTGCAGAAGCTGCGACTGCCAGTGGATGATGTGTAGTGTATAGTGATAGTTACAGTAGCTGGAAACGTTTTCCATTCGAAATGTGTGCCAATTTAATTCATATCGCATACGCTACGTTAGCAGTACCCGCCTCTTGATTCCCTGAGTGAGTTCAAGCGTTTGTCGCTTACCTGTCAGCTTTTTTAATTTACGAGTCGACGTCGCCCCACTAAATGACTGACTAACTGACTGACTAACTGAGTGAGCTGACAGCTGCTGCGTGGGCTTTGTTTCGCGCTTTTGTTCTTGCTCAAAATTCAAGCAACGCCTCGTCGCAGAATATCTTTGAATTTTTTGTTTTTTCTATGTGGCCAACACGCCACTTGGTCGTCGTTTATTATCCACACATTTCAAGCATTTTTTTATGGATTTTGCAATAGCTCGACATGGCTACGTCTTGATTTGATTACGTCCAAGCTGAAGCCAGGTCTGGTCAGACTTGACTTGGCTCATTTTGGAGCTGACATGCGAGTTGTACTTGTATTTGTATTTGGACATGAACCAGACACCCACCTAGGCGGTAGCTTAGCAGGAAGTAGGCGCGCAAGCGAACAGCTGCATCAACCACTCTACACTCTCTGGCCATAATTACGAACACACAAAGCAGAACAATTGCAAAAACACGCGCGTAATGCGAGTTAAAAGCCACGTCTATTGTAAGTCGAAACGGCCGTCACTGTGACGCACAGATCTTGATTAATACGAAATTAATAATATCTGACCATGCCCAAATGAGTGCTTGTGAGGAGGGCTTGATTAGGTCAATGCACGGCATGGCAACGATCATCATTTCAAGATTAGCAATATCGATGACGCATCTCATTCATGACTGATTCTTTTCTTAAATTTTAACTTTTGACTTTTCTAACAATATTTCTAATTGAACTTTACAAGCTGTATTCTTTTTATAGACGATCAGCCGAACATTGGTAGAAGTAGGCATATAAAATCAAACCAAATTATTCTTTGAAGTGGAACTAGTTTTATAAGTTATAAATTTGACATATTTTGATTTTTCTCACAACTCTTCAAATCGAACTTTACAAACTGTTTTTTTTTTTCACTTCAATTTTCACAACAGTATTCAATTTTACTCGCTTGTGGTAATGCTTATTGGCAAATATATATCCGTGTGGGCTTCCAGTATATTGTAGGGTTGTACCAACACTGTTTCCGGATCGTTCTGGTTATCTGACTCAGTATTTATAACGGGTAACATAGTCGTGCCATCTGATAAGACCGCTTCTATAATTTCACTGGAACTTTGGGAGAGTGAGCCTAAGCAGCATAAGCAGACACAATAGGAGACTCCACCAGGTAGGAATGGGCATTTAAAACAATATGTTTCTGAGCTAGTAATCCAAGCAGTCACTAAGCTCGATAGAAGTCAGTCAGTTAGTCCGAGAATTGTCCTCTTTCTTCCTACTCCCCCAGTATGAGTGATTTTCTATGACTCCCATAATTCCTGGAGTTTTTAAATAAAATCGGACAAGCACCAAGTTTCATCTTGATACGTCAATCTCTGCCCAAGCGCTGCTGAAGCAGTTCTTGTTGCTCTGGGTCTACTCTGTACAACACACAGAACCCACGTAAAGGGTGTAGCTTTAAGTGAGTTCAAATACCCAAGAAGATATAATGGATTGAAAAATGTTCAAAATTACTAAAGCAAGACTCAACTGAAAAACATTAATAATACTTTCCCAATGTTGTGACGTTCATATTTCAGATCAGATTTATTTACATTTTTTCACTCACCTTTGGTTCGCGTGAGGTCTCTTCATTTGGCGCATAATGCTCGCGGTAGCGCGAACGCATCTCCTCCTCTCTGACCATGTAGCGTTCCTTTTCCTTGTCCTTGTCTCTGCTTTTGTCTTTCTCAGTGGTGCGACGACTCAGTGTGCTGCTATTTCCATTTGTAAGATGCGACTGTGTATCCTTTTTACTGCTGGACACATTGCTCCCACTGCTGCGTCCACTGCCGCCATTGCTGCTCTGATTATGGCCGCTGCCCGTGAGCAGCTGCTTGACTTTTCCAAAGCCTCCCAGCTTCTTGTTTCGTTTCAGCGTGCTACTGTTGTTGTTGTTGCTCTCATGTCGAATTTGCAAGTGCTGCTCACGGTGCCGCAAGGTGCTCGTGGCCACTGGATATTTGTCCAGATGTGGATCAAAATGGGAGCCATCGTCAATGGAACGTTCACGATACACGTAACTATGATCTCGGCGCAGTCGCGCCTGTGTAAACTGTCGCTGCAGTTGCTGGTGTTGAGCGCTATCCCGACACTCCTTGCGCAAAAAGGATTCGCAAGCTTTAATATCATCCAGTGGCGTCCATTTACGCCATCTGTGGAAATATAATCAGATGGAAAATATTCGAAAAGTACATTGAAAACAGGCTAATAGATCGGTCTTATATTAAAACAAGTAAAGAACACTGTACGTATGTAAAGAATAATTATGCGTGTATGTGTGTGTTTGTGTGTGTTTGTGTGTGTCTCGTGTGTGTCTGTGTATGTCTCGTGTGCCTGTGCAAAGCAGCAACAGCAACAACAGCTGCAGGCAGTGCTTGGCCTGACATTAAATATACGGCTATAATTTCCAGTTAAATCGGCGTATCATACTTAGCACACGGACGTATAATCACTAGCTGAAGGTATTTGCCAAATTTGAGTCAAAAATTCGACGAAATATGAGAGTTATGGAAAATCAGCGATTGCGGCGGAGAGGGAGGAAATTCCAAAATTTTCATCATCTATCTTGGACTAAAATTTGGTGTCCCTAGGTTGGTGTCTCTAGGTGATTATACGAACGAAAAATCGGAAAATCCCTATCAGGGGGGAAGTGGGGGGAAAATCAAAAAAATAATTATAGTCTATAATGTGCACAATTATTTCTTGTATTGTATTACCCGAAGTGTCTAGGGTATACTAGAATGTCTAAATTCCAAATGTATATAACATGCAGAAGCAGGTGTGACGAGATTAATCGATATATATATATATATATATGTCCGACTATTCGTCCTGATTTTTTTATGTAGTTGCAATAAGACCAAACGGGGGAAAATCACTGTTGCTTTGCTTACGAAGATAATTTAAGGAAATGTTTTTTAATGAGTTTTATATAGTACCACATGATATTATGAAGTATTCAAATCGCTGATCTTTTTCATATAGCTGCCATATTAATGATTGGTACAACAAATCTTATTTTTTTTATTTTGTTAATTTTTTTAAACTTTTCGAGACTTCCAACACCCTCCGTACCTAGGTTTCTAAGCCGGGGCACCCGATCTCAGCTTTTCCACTTGTTATATATATGTACATATGCATCTTAATTAGGTTATGAATATTTTTACAATACCTTGTGGTTAAGTCGCCATTGAAAGATTCCTTGCGAAAATCGTTTTCAATTCCCGAATCACCCTTATCGAAACTACGTTGCTGCAACTTGTCCCGCTTCAGACTGCTCTGCCAATAGTCCTGCGGTAACTGTCCCCGCTCTATACCATTCTCAAATCTTTGCATTAACTCCGGTGATGACCGATACTGATCCGTGCCGGTTAGTTGTGAGTCCAAGCTTTTCGGCTCATGTTCTGCGGCCCGCTCGATTTGTTGGAAGTCTCGGGGTACTGAGCCCATGCGCTCTCGATGTCGTGACTCACGCACCTGTGGCTTGCCTGTTCCATTTAATTGCGTTTCTCGCACAAAAGTTTCTTTAACTCCACCACGGCCGTCATCATAATACTTGGTATGCCGATAGCGAGAAGTCTTTCCCACTTTGGGCAACGTGGATGAACTGAGCTCGTTGAAAGGGGAGTCTTCTGTCACATATTTACTTGGCATTTCATTCTGATAACGCGTCTCAGCTACCTGCTCTCGTTCCCGCTCCCTCTCCTGACTTAGAAATACGGCTGTATGGGAGTTGTGCTGACGGTCTAGAGTGGCCGCTTCGCCAAAACGACGAGTTAATATGCGATTTTCCAGCTGGGCGCGTCTATATCCCAGTTCGTCTAAATATGGCGCTGGACTGACACTTCTAATGACAGGCACAATAGGCGGCTCACGTCGCTCTGGGTCACGCGCCCTATTATTCTTAGAGAGGTCATCCTCGTAGTACAGCTTACGCGTCTCGAAACCCAATCCCTCGTCCTCATCGCTTAAATTGCGTGGACTGAGCTGCTGCCAAGGTGAGGGTGAGTGCGAAGCGCTCAGTCGTTTAGCCAGCGGTGTGTGATGTCCATTCTGACTATTAAAATTGTAAGTGGGCGAGTTTCCAGGACTTTGGATGGGAGCAACTCTATCAGTAGCCCTTGGTGGTCTTGTGGGTGCAAACTCACGGATTGGCGTGCGTATATCACGCGAGGGTGGAGAACGGGTCTCCTCGCCCAGATTCAAATCCAGTTGAGCATAGGTGATGCCTTCATTGGGTCGAATATAGGAAAAAGCGGGCTGTGTAATGGGCAACGGCTGTGGGGAAAAGCGCTCCATTGACAGGCGCTTTACTAGTCCATCTACAGTTCTGCCCTTTGTGAGCGGCAAGCGCTCCGCCGGCAGCTGTGAGCTGTGCATATTATCACTGCTCTTGGCCTGCAGCGTCTCAATACGATCTCGAATGCCAGCTGAAATGCCTCCTTGTCGCAGGGTGCTCTTGTTCAGTAGCGGTCCGTCCAATTCTGCCTTGGAACGGCTGCGGGACAACAGCTCGTTTAGTCCGCTCTCATACTTCTCGCGCACGGTCACAGCATCCGATTTGCGGCGTTCCCTCTGGTAGTCCTGCTCCTCAAAGTAATCCTCCCCCTGCGTTTGCTCTATAATGGGACTAAGCTGCTGCTTTGCTGGACTGCTGCTGTTTTGGGAAAGTTCTGGCACCTTCTTGCTAAGTGTAGCTCTACTCCTTGCGTCTTTGATGCTACCTACATCACTTTTGCTCCGCACTAAGCGTCTGCCACCCCCGTCTTCGAAGCGTGGATCTCGCTCTAATTGGCTGACATTCGTGTCGCTTTTACGACTAAAGAGACTGAATATAGAGGGTCGTTTGGCTGACTTCTTAGCAGCCGCGTCGCTGGAACTACGCGCCACTGGCTTACCCTTCTTACCACGGCTAGGCAGTGAATGAAAACGCTTGGAATTGGCGCTGGAATCGGCGTTAGTAGAGCGTTTCTGCTTCACCCTAAAAGTTGGTATGTTATCACCGTTTTGGGCCTTACTCTGATGGCTGCCCGCCTGCTCGATAACTAATGCAGCCTCCTTACGTATGTCTTCGGGATTAATGTCAGGTGGTAGTTGATGATAGCTCTGTGTGCTGCCAATAGGCTGCAGGTTAGTTGTTTCGTAGTCGTACTCAGATGGTTCGTTGTTGCGCTTGCCTGTGAACAGAAATGGAGAAATGTATTATAAATTTATGGAAGCTGCCTTAATGTTGCTCAGGAGATCAATTTAATTTAAATTCAAATAATACTGCACTTTAAAAGTTTCAAAATAAATCAAAGTAATACCTTGTTAACTTTGCTACAAACTGTCGTTACAAGTGTAACTAACTTATAGAAAATTTCATCAAAATGGCATACTCGTAATATCTTAATTTATAAATATTATTATAAATATTAGAACAATTGCCGTATTTGATTTTAAATTGTATTTGTAATTATCGCCACACTACCCTCTAAAAATCAGTTTTTATTAATATATTTTATTTTGTTGTGAATCGGCCGGCAGTTTTGGTCATTGAATGAATAGTGAATGAATAAAAATTAAGAAATATAAATCATGGTGAAAATTGATAGACAATCTTTCTCAAAGTTTCTTCCTCGTTTAAAAATAACAAAATAATCATTATTTGCAGGCCCTGATATAAAGTATTTAATTTAATTTATTACATTCAAATTTTAATAAACATTCAAATTAGACTTCATTTGTTACCCCATGCCTAACCGCACTCACAACAAAATGTTACTGTGCATGTAAAGACAATTACCACATCGGTAGTTGCCATATAGACTGATACTGCCTTATGGATAGACTTTTAGTGACTTTAACAGTGCATGATGATGTAATACGTGCGCGCGCAAATGTCCACCAACTGAGAGTTGTTGGCAAATATACCCAATACAAGTGTGAATTGGCCACAGCTGCTTGCTAAATAAGGCAACCCGCTAGAGTCACAACCGCAACAAAAGCGGCAGTCAAAGCAGCTTCCTCGCTTAACCCACGTCTTGCTGCTCTGTTCCCATCCGAAGGTAGTTTACCTAGTCTGTAATCCGGCGCTGTAAGCGCTAATAGCCATTGAAGTGCCCTCAAACAGCGACCGATTTATCAGCCATTGAGACGCTAGATTCTATCGAATGTAGTCGCGCCAGCACATCAAAATTTTTCCACTTCCTCAATTTTTCATAATAATTATTATTATTTAATACGCCGAAAACAAAAAACGTGCCGCTCTAAGAGCTAAAGCTAAATCTAAAGCAGCACCAACAGCATCAAAAACGGCGTCGCAAGCAAGAAAACGAGCATCATAATGAAAACAAGATTTCCAGGCCATAACAGCAACAAAAACAAAAAACGATAACAAGGGTGATTCGTGAGCTTTACTTTTCTACCATCTTACTCTTTGGCAGGCCACAACAGCAACGCTCATTACTCAGCACAAGATTGAGACTACACGCACCTTATATCTTCACACTTGCTATCCAATTGATGCCAAGAATGAGCACACCTGCATTATACTTGTAGTATTGCAAGTTTGTTGCCTAAGTCATTGCTAGATCAGCAGATAAAAAAACAAATTTAAGAGTCAGCGTTCATTTAATGCTGCTTCCAGCTTGCCATGTCTAGACAGATAATTATTTCAATGTTCCCAAATCATTCAAATTTTCATTACAGCCATTTAAATAACAATGTAATTCCTCTCAGACTATGCTCTTCTTTCTAGTTTTGTCAAAATATTCATTTTGAAAAGGAATTTCTCTTTTAAAATATTGGAAGTCGCCGTGCTCGTTCGGGGATTTAACTATTTAGTTGAGAGAATTTCTCTCAAACTATGATCCAATCTACTTATGCAAAAACAAAAACTACAGTAGTTTACTTAACAGAACTCTGAAATCGTTTACCATAGCATCATAATGCTTAATGCAATGAGCATGGAATAGAACCGATTAGTACTCTAGAGAAATATCACATTGAAGTACAACATCGGAATTTTTGATAATATTGAACATATATGTATATAACTTATCAAGAATAACTCTTTCATAAAGTTTGTTTGTAAATGCAAATTGTCCACATCATCCAATTGTGGCTACTACTACAATTCTGGCCATTCACCTGCACAAAACTCGTTGCTACCACTGATATATGTACGAGTATGTATGTATAATACTTGTATGTATATATGACTGCACAACCTGCCTCATTTAAAAGTCAACAGAATAACAACAAACCACTCCCACAAAACCAATAACAAGAATCAAATAGCGCTATTTTGCAAAGCAAAATGAGACGCCAAATGCTAGAGCCTAGGCTTGGGTCTGCGTTTGATATCGGTGTTGGCCTGTGTCTGGACAAAGTTTATTCCGCAGTTAATGGAACTGCTGGCAAAGTAATTCTTCAACAAATGAAAAATGACAACTAGGCGTGTTGTGTGTCAAATTTGCTTCACTCGTATCGAAATGATTTAACAACAAAAAGTAGTTTGCCGAATTTATGATCCGACTGTCTTGCCTTTGCCTATTAAAGCTCAACTTTTCATGCGGGATGTGATTGAACCCAGCACGAAACATACGAAATGTAATGGTATAGTATTTTTGTAGCCCAAATTACATTTTTTTTTGCATAGAACATTAAATTTGCCTTTCAAATCAAAATTTGTGCCAACACACTAACTGCCAACTTGCGGTCTCAGCCGCCCGCCCACGCAGCAGCACCCTATCTGATGAAAAACAATGAGCATGGGAAACTAACAGACAACTCCAACTATGAACCATAACAACAACAACAGCAACAGCAGAGCAACAACTGCCAAGCGATATGTGTCAAGGTAAAATGTTGCAAGCCATGTGTATAAGATGCCTTTCGGCTGCGAATGCGATCAGGCCGAAGACGGCATGCTCTGCGGCGTTTCAAGCTGGGAGGAACGGGGCGGCCGCTCACTCGTATGTTCATCAAGTTGTTGGCATGTGCCGTTTGTTGTTATTGCAAGTGTGACTTTTGCTGCTATTGCTGACAGGGCCGACTGACTGAAGCTGCGCTTTATTTAGCAACGGCATTGCGGCAGGTTTTGTGATGAGTTACAACAACAACAACAGCAGCAGCAGGAAAACATAAATTTCATTAAGCGACAGTTTGCGGCGGCTGTTTGGACATGTGGCAGTGAAACTAATGCCTGACTAACTGTACATGTTGTGACTTCAGCGCAAGATGCAGTTTTGGGCTGCACGAGATCCCGCACTTGAGCTATTCCAGCTAAATAACAAAGAAACAACTGTTTAGCTACCATGATTGATTGATTAGCATAACAGCAATATCCACAAACCCAACATCAACAGCAACAACAACACCTGGCAAGGCGCTGAAAGCCATTCATTAATCTAATCGTTGATCCACTTAATGAGCCAACGGGCTCTATGACTGCTCACCCAACGCGTCAATGGCATAAGAGTGTAGCAGGAGGAAGAGAAAGAGAGAGAAAGTTAGAGAGTTGGAAACCCTTACACACACACGGACAAAAAAAATCAATATGCCTTTGATATTTATCACAATATTTGTCCAATCCATAAATCAGTACGCAAGACGAGTCGATATAGCCATGTCAGTATGTCCGTTCGTACATCAGTCTGGATAAACGAAACGCCCGGATTTCGGCTGAGCGCACATTAACCAAGCTTGATATGTATACACTGTCTAGATCGATTTCTCTGATCATGCTGATTATTGAGAATATATGTTATACTTTGCGGGGTTGACAGTACTTCCTTTTGCCTGGTTTACACTTTGCACAAGACTAATATACCCTTTTATCCTACGGGTACAGGGTATAAGGAAGTGTAACAATATACCTCAGCCAACTTAATTTTTCTTGTTAAATAAACACTTCTATGGGTGTTACCCATTTCATATCAGTGCGACGACTAAATAGCAAATTTCTGAAAAATGGAAAATATTATGGGTGCCCTCCTCATACAAATAACAAAATAAATCAAGTTTGCAAACACGACTTTTCTGTGCATTAATTTTTGGAAATGCTGCTCTGGCGATAAGGAATCTGATCCACTTTTTCAATGAGCAGTGACAGCTAACTGGTCCGACCTCCCACTGCTGCTCACTTGGCACTTGCTTGTTCCGGTTTCTCTATACGATTCGGTTGGCGCGTAATTTGGCTTTCGTGATAGTCAAGGTGAGCCAAATCACAAAATCGAGAGAGAAAAACACAACTGACCAAGTCATATAAATAATAGCAATGTCGTTTTTTATGCCATTTGGATTTTTAAATCGATGCCGACACGAAACGTGCTCGATGACGTTAAAAATTAGTGCCCCACAGTACGACTTTCACTGAAGCAGTCGGGCAGCGAAATCAAAGACCAAAAGAATGAATATTAGAGAGAGAGTGAGTTTTATGGACAGTCGCATTCCTTTTTTAGAAGCCATGATGTCAAATGTTTCATGATCTGTCATCAGTCTTCAGCCCGAATCATAAAATATGGAGAAAACTATTTCCCTTCTAAAAGATTATTAATTTTTTAAATATAAAATAACTTTAACTGTGCAACTGCTTAGCATATTTTGAAGTTCTATTCAATACCCATGTAAGAGGTTCTAGTTTTATTATATATTTATAGCTTAAGTCATTACCCAAATTAGAATATTGCTACCCCCGGAACTATATTACTTATGGTTTTTATCAACGCCATTCTATCGTGAGAATGTTTTGCTTACTAATCATAGTCCCTGCATGAGCTAAACACATGTCTGCACTCATTATTAAACTTTATTCTGTTGGGTTAGATTAAAGCTTGCTCTTCATTAAATCAATCTTATACCGGCTTTCTGCGAATTTTGGATCGATTCTATTAAAATAAAGTAGCTCTAACAAGTAAAAACGCTAAAGTCGGGTGTCCCGACTTTGAAATACTCTGTACATATGTTTACAATAATTATAGAAAAAAAAATAAGAAAATTTAAAAAAATTTGATCGATTTTACCTTTCTCGGTAGTCGAACTCAAGTAAAGGGTATATAATTGCACATATACAAAGCAATTGCGTCTATGTGAGTGTATGTATGTTTATGCGCGTCTATTTGTGTCTGTGTAAGCATTTTCGTAGTCAACTAAACAGCAACATCAACAACAGCCGCGGGCAGCGCTTGGGTAG